AAGCTGGCGATGCGCAGAGAGGTCGAAAGGCAGGGCGAGATCGTACGCGGGGTGGATGGCGGCGAAGCGCCGGACTTTCCCGTAGGTCGCGTTAAACCCGGCCAAACAATCCTGGCTGTTTTGAAAAAGACTCGGGGCCCAGCAGCCGGCATCGCCGTTGGCTAAAAACGGCGCCATCGCGCGGCCCTGGCGGACGGCCAAGACGTCCAACTCCGCCGCGGACGCCGCGGACTCCGCGATGAAGCGCTCAACAAAAGGATGAAGGTCCTCGCCGGTGAAAATCAGGTCCGAATCTAATACAATCACCACATCGTGGGGGTCTAACCCGGTATTCGCGATCGCCCGTTCCGTGAAGTTGAACTTCGACAGGTAGCCTTTGTATTCCATCTGATAGCCTTCGACCACGACGGGAAAGCCGCTGAGGTAGGCGGAGCCCACCGAATAACAAAGCGGGTCGTCGATTTTATCACTCATGATGAAAATAATCACGCGAGGGCCGGTGGTGCGAACGAAAAGATCGGATATTCCATTTTGGGGAAGCACCAACGGGACAAAAGAAGTCCGGGGGGAATCTTTAGTGAAAAAGATGCAAAGAACTATCAAACACAAAACAATGAACACAACGAGAAGTAATCGACGCAGGAGAGTCTTTATAAATAATCGTTGCGATTTCTTTGATAGTAAGCTAATGGTTTTGTCATTTTGTTTTTTAATTCTGAATTCATCACTTAAATTAAGCTTGAGTACCTATAAAACTGAAGTAAGATCTATTAGTTCTACACAAATTTCACAGAATCAAAAAGGGAAGAAGTAGAATGAAAATAGGAAGTAATCACTGTGTAGGTTTGAAAAGCTGGTAAAATGTACCGTATACTGGCCACATATATTTTTTTTTGAGCCCCACTCAAGTCAAAATTATATCCGACATTAGAATTTTCCAACCAGATGTCAGGAATATCATCCCTCACAAACCACGGGAACTCGCAAAAGTCCAAATGGTTTGATGGATCAAGGTGAGTTGTATAAATCATATAAAAAACACTTAAAGTGTACATCATGATTTGCTCCCCTTGGGGATGCTCACCCCATTGAATCGAGGAGGGAGTGTCCAACTCAAATCCCTAATGTAAGTTCGGATTACAGCACGAGAGTCATGCGTTGCGTGGGGCTCATCGAACGAGCCACATTCCATTCGCCCCTCTCCACCTGCGTTCGAAATCTCGACAGAAATCTAGAAAGCGCCGTTCGGCCTTGAAGAGAATTCCTCTAGACCATAATGCAAAGTCCTAATAATCATGGGGAACATATTCCCGTTTGCGAGTACTACGTGTGGGTCGATGATTGAGATCTACCGATATGTTTTCTTCAGCTAACCCGCGTCAGACGGCTGATGGCAATTGAGATCCATGACGGTCGAAGTTTTACGGATTACCTGTATGGCTTTGGTGTATTTTCATCTATCCTACAGGTGGATGCAATCAGTACGCGAGGACAGCCCAAATAATCAATCGGATCACTTTTTTTTTAAGCGTAGGGCAACCGGAGAAGCCCCACGAAGGCTCCGACAACGAAATAAAGAACTTTGTGGGTGATGCTTTGGGGAAAGCGCCTGCACAATTTGCGTTTGGGTTGCCTCTACAAGAACACATCGCCGCCGCTCCAACACGCCGTGGCGATTTCATAATTCGCCTTGAAATGATGGGGTCGTGTTTGTTGAGAAGAAAACCGGAAATCGCAAAACAATGAAGCCGTTGGATGACTTGGGTTGAAAAAGAGATGAATTGCCAATATTGGCCACACTCCTTCTCTTTTTCCAACAGAAGATTTACGTCGAAGTAAATGTTCGAAGTAGTGATCCTTGTTGGATGCTTACTATTTCAAAAGAAACCTGTCTGTCCTATTACCTCCTTTTCCTACGCGTGTTTATGAACACAGTGTCCATTTGGAGGGCTAATGACGAATGTGAAATGGTTTCTGCTCAACTTTGGGTTCTTTCAGGGTCGATGCCCCGCTTTCAAATAATAGTTCCCATTATTAAACGCTGAACTTACCATTAACTAACGTTCACTTCGTGGTAGGGTATTACTATATTCGGAAAGATGAATAACCTCAATGTACCTTTCCTTTGATCTAACCTCTCCTTTGAAGAACCCAGTAGGTGGAGTTCACACCCTAATACAATTAATAGGATTCCATAACGATGGTTGTGGAATTAATTACCGTGTAGAAATATAAAAACCTTTTTGGTGTGCGATGTAGATATGGTAAAAAAATGAGATGAAATTAGCTGAGAACATACACTCGGAGATATATTATTGGGTAGGTTGGGTTACACAGACTAGCATTTTTTTTTTTAACTGTTGAGATGAAACGTGGTCTGGCTTTTTTTGAGGGAGTAAAGGCATTTCAACAGTGGTATTATATCAAAACTATTTTGCGATAAGATTTTATTCCCTAAGTGAGTATAAGTTTCGCAATGATAAGTATAAAACTTACGAGCTATTGAATACATAAACTCTTGACAACACGATATCAAAATGAATAGAAAAACAAATATATTAGACCTAATTCTTCTATATTCCTAAGCTAACCTTGGGGAAGGATCCAGAACGCAGTTCACATATTAACCACTATTCAAAAAGGTAAAAGTACTAATCTATTTTGCGTTCATAAGGAAATCTTTGCTACGTTGTAGCTTACCTAAAACTTGAAAATAATGCTCTCAAGGTTTTCGCCACGGGCCTTGAGCTTCGTAGCCTCTTTACGGTAAGTGTCTAGGTCCTTTCGTTCGACCGTTCGATTGGAGGCTGGGTTTTCAAAATTAAACTCATTAGCTATGATTGCAGGCGGGTAATTATTCAAGTGGTGTAAGTGTGTTTGATAGGCGTCCGTGTGATAACCAAGATAATACAATCGGTATGCTGCAAATGCCACTACACAAGTCAGGAGAATATCCCCGACAACGTAAAAACCTCTGGTTTCACTACTGATGCTTTCCTCTCTAGTGAGTTCGTGGTACCACTTTTCTTTAAAAGGTAGTTTTGTGGGCCAAGGCCAGTTACCATAACTAGGGCTGCCCTTCAAACGGAGTAGGTTTCTTGAGAACATGAATATATAAAACTATGTAGGTTTCATCAAAAAAATCGTTCAATGGAAATGAACAACATTTAGTCAAACAAAATGTAGAAAAATAAAGGAGGAAAAAGATGTAAAGTAGTATATTCATTGTTGTTGTAACAGCATAGCTTTCTAGGGTCATATAAAGAGATATAAGCATACCTATAAAAGTAAGCACCTAATAATGTGAACAAAGGACATACTCTTTTTTACTGGATCAACAACTTGCTTCCATTCAGATTAACTTTCTCCAACATTTAACTAACGTTTCTTCGAAACGTTAACCAATCCCTTTACGTTGGATTTCATTCTACCTAAATACGGCAAAGAAGAGAAGACAAGAAACAGATGTGATAATTAGATTTTAAAAAATAAGTTTAAAAACGGAAAAGGGG